TAATTCCAATTACAGATTACTTAGTTTACTTATAAATGTGTAAGTAAACTTAGTTTACACATAAATTTGAAAATTTATGTGTAAACTAAATTTAAAATACTCTATTTTATGACTATATGCTCTCATGAACTTTTATTGTGTATTATACATTATTTATTGAACATGTTAGGTTTCAGTCTGAGACTGTCAGTTCTTAGAGCTCTCATGGCTGAAGAACAACCAGACACGCCAAAGTTAGTCAAGCATGAAAATGAGGTTTATTGAGGAGAAAAAAGTAGGATTACAAGGCAAGAGCAAGATACAGGTTTACAGAGCATGGTACATACGCCACAGATGACGACCGGACCCACTGTTGCAGCAGGGCAGGCAAAAGGAAGGACAAAAAAAGAGAGAGAGAGAGTGGCTATGGTCTGTGTCTTATTTTATAGTGTCTGGATAGGGACCTCCCTTGTGGTTCAAAGGTCACCATGGAACCACTTTGATTAGACAGTTGGGAGTCACATGACCTGAGCCTTAACTATGCATGTGGGTTCTAGGTCACTTCTCTGGACTTTATGGTAACCATGTGGCTTGGCCCATGGGCTACAGAATCCTCTGCATTCTTTTGCAGCTGGTGTGCCAAGTTCTGATTGGCAGATTCGTAGGGTATTCCCTCCTCCCCCAGGTATGAAGAATTAGGATTGGGCAGGACCAAGATGGGGCGACAGCACCCACTTTTGTCCCTAGGAGACCTGGAATCCCTATCTACCTAACAAACATTGTATATAGTGTATGATTTTATTTGCCTATTTAGAATCTTTATTCTGTTCTCTGGAAAGACACGACATAACAAATATTTATAAGAAAACATTGCCTCTCAATCTTTGACAACATCATCCATTAAAGGGAATATAGTGTTGACATCTAATATAAATTCCAAAGAATGTTAATAAGAAGAAAGTGCAGTTGTTAAACGAGCAAATCCTATAATCTTACACTGTGGATGGACCTTAAGGATTCATTCTTTTCAACTTGCTCTTGTAGCCCCAGACACATTTGGCTTAGAATGGCTACTAGAGTGTCTTTATAATTGTTTTTCTAAATAAAGTGCATTTATTCCCAACCTCCCAGCATTTTATTATGAAATTTTCAATTGAAAGAATTGACAATGAGCACCCATATGTCTACCACTTAGATTCTGTCAATTAGCATTCTGTCATATTTGCTTATCACATATCTCTCCATCTTTCCATGCCTCTATCAATCCATCAATTCATTTTTTGATACATTTTGAAATAAGTTGTGGACGTTAGTATATTTAGATGCTAAACATTTTGGCATGTATATCATTAGCTAGAGTTCAGTATTTGTTTACAGTTTTTGTTTCCTTTTTTTACTGTGGCAAAATTTATATACGGTGAAGTGCATTTATCATAAATGCACTTAGATGAGTTTTGACAAATGCATACACCTGTGTAACTGAACCACTGTAATGATATAGAATATTGTCACCACCTCAGAAAATTTTCTTATAACCCTTTACAGTCACTCTGTAACTCTCCTCTCCTGCAACCTGAGGCAATAACTTTTCTAATTTTTTTCACCATATGTAAGTTTTCCCTGTTATAGAAATTCATATAAATGGAATCCTGAATTCTGTACTCTTTTGTGTAAGGCTTCTTCATTCTCTTTCATCCATGTTGTTGTGTGTATCTGTAATTTGTTCTTTTTATTGCTCAAAAGAATTTCATTGTACAAATATGTCACACTTCCACTATTTTGTTGAGGGACACCTGGACTCTGTCCAGTTTTGGGCTATTATGAAGGTCCTTTAGTGGGCTGGGCACCTTGGCTCACAACTGTAATCCCAGCACTTTGGGAGGCCAAGGTGGGAAGATCACTTGAAGCCAAGCATTTGAAATCATCTCTACAAAAAAAAAAAAAAAATTAGCCAAGTGTGGTGGCACACACCCGTAGTACTAGCTACTCAGGAGGTTGATGTGGAGGATAACTTACTGATGTGTAGTAAGCTATGATCATGCCACTGTACCCCAGCCTGGGTGACAGAGTGAGATT